GATGGAGGCGGACTCGGGCGATTGGTTTGTTCTGAGCACCCGACCGGAATATATGGTGACTATGCTCAAGCTATCCAAGTGGCGTGACTGGAAGCAGAGGTTCTACCTCATGTCCTCATCTAGATGAGGGATACAGAGTTCAACAAAAAGATGAATAAATTTAACTCCTCCCCCCTCCAACTTGGACGAGGGGATCATCGGCCGACTCACCCCCCAATTTACCCGTACCATGCTGCTCAGCTTGACTACTTCTCGACCAAGCGAGAAATCAGAGGGGGTTGCCGAGTGCTTGTTATTCCAAGGTGGATTCTCTTAGTGATCTGGCTAAGGGATCCCATCTTCATTTCCTCCTTCGGCCTGCTGTAGGCATTGTTTGAAGTGCGCCTACGTTAAGCATGTGTGAATATGCTTGGCACTCATAGGAGGTGGGAATTGACATACGATTAGGGCCACGATTAGGGACAAGGAAAGTAGGGAGCCGCCAACAAGTTTTTAAGGAACTTGTAAACCGTTCACGGATCATAGAAAGGCAACCACGATAAGGAACAGCGAAAGGCAACAACGATTGACCCGTGAAGGTTATACCCCATTCATAATCCATGAGATTACTAACTCCATATGGTTCGGAACCACGAAAGGAGGATCGGGGATGATGGTACGAAGTGAGTCATGGAGTCACATTCGCCCGTATTGGCCTCTACTCGATTCTTATAGTGAAAAGTGATTCCTGCGATCTCAAAGGCATGCAAAAAAGTATTCAATTTGCTCCAAACTATTATTAAGCTAAATTGGTTGAATATTAATGCAACACATAATTCTAAAATATCTTGATCACTTGATTAAACAACAAGATTAAAAGGGAACCTAAACCGGTTGTCCAAATTATCTTATTAGGCGTGATAATCAATTACATATTCCCTTTAAACATGCAATATGGTGATCATAACAATAATAGAATAAACATTAATAATGGAAGCAATTTAACAATAATAACGTTAGTCAAATCAAATAATAATAATAATAAGAACCTAATCATGATGCTAGCAATATTAAAATAAAATAAGAGTAATTAAATTAATTAATTACTCACATTCCGCGCGTTCCTTTAAATTGCTACATCATGAATAAATTGTTAGTAATTTCAATAAAAATATAAAGCAAATGAAAATTAAATTAAATAGATATAAATTTATTTGGTCCAAACCCTCAGTAATTTATACCTTTCATGCAATGGTTTAAGGACGGAACCTCGGGTTTAGTTTAGACTCCTTGGAGTGCTTAAGGGAAGAATGGTGTAATTAGGAATATAGGTTTAAGGCTTAGAATATGGGAGGGAGAGAAGAGAATGATTTTTGGTGTAAAAGAGAGAAAGAGAGAAGGATTTGATGATCAAGCTTGTTGATGATTGAAAAAGGGGATATATGACCTCTATTTATAGGGAAAAAAGAAGGGTCGAAAAGACAAGATAAGATCCGAATTAAATCGGAATAACACTCGATAGACTGCAGTTTTTGCGGTTTTTGTTTTTATCATATCTTTTGATCCAGAAATCCGAATAAGATGAATAGGATATCGTTGGAAAGCTCTTGATGTCTACTTTTTAAAATAATTAAAATAAGATTAAAATATTTTGTAGAATTAAAGATATGGCCGAAATAGTGAGACGGTGTCAGTTTTGGATAGAGTTTGACATTTTATTCATATCTTTTCCGTTACAGCTTGGAATTGATATTATAATATATCATTGGAAAGATAATTTCAAGGGCTATCCAACCATATAAAATTTGGATAAAAACTATGAGGCAAGAAAATAATATCTTTCTATCTTTGAACGTCTTTCAATTCGGATAGAAATAGGATTTAAAAAAAAAGAGTTTTATTCAATTTTAAAATCTTTAATCTTATCTTTTCAAAAAGGATAATTAAGATCTTTTAGAAACTTATAGAAGCTTATAATTAATCCTAATTGGTTTAAGAACGAGATTAAATAATTTGGACCCTCGACTTGATCATTGGGTCGTAGGTAAGGTGGGCTTAGGTTCGATTTGGGCTCAGTTTAATATTTTGGCCATAACTTATTCGTTATAACTCGGATTTGGGCTTATAATATGTCGTTGTAAAGATATTTTAAATCCCCATCAAAATATTCAATCATAGGACCCATATTATGGATCAAAATAGACTGGATTAAATGTTTTTATAAAAAGCACACGAAATGAATGATTTTAAAGTACACGAAGTGAATTATTTTGGGTTTAAAGGCACGAAAAGAGGAAAATAAGTTATGGTTTGGGGGAAATGGGCTAGAATTTGGTTTGGTTTATGAAATGGAAAAATGGATTTAAGCACTCCAAGATTAAATACTCAACCCGACCAATAATGGCGGTGAAAGGTTGTTCATCATCGGGAAGACATTTTTAGGTGTCTACACCTGTACAAGAATTACTCCTAAGGTTGACCTTTGTAGCATGCATTGTTATTCTTTTCTTTTTTTCAAATTTTCTCTAACTTTCAATGTTTTTCTATTTTCAGAGGAACTGCGGCCAAGCTCGACTTAGTGCAAAGGGGAGAGATGGACATGAACGAGTTTAACATGGAGAGGTACATGCTTATGAGGGAGCAGTACGAGGCGGCAAAGGGGGTACTGACAACTTCTTCCTTTTTTCCATATATATATATATATATATATATATATATATATATATATATATATATATATATATATTGCGTCTGACCTGCTTTAAATGAATCATAATGCTTTTCTTTCAAGGTCGAACATTGTGCAAACTTCTTTCCTGGCCAAGTGAAACTGAAATGTAGGTTCTTTCCTACAACCCTACTCGGACAGGGATAGAGTGCTTTTTGCCGAGTGAATTTGATTTCAATGCTACTCGAACGGAGTTTGTTGACTGAATTTTTCTCGCTTTGTCAGGCAGCTACCCCGTAAGCCTGCGAGAAAGTGGTCAGCGTCCGCTTCAAAGGACGAGGGGTTGTCTAAATCTTGTAAATACTTGACGTCCAAGGCCTCCTCGGGGACGCCGGCGGCCAGGGCAAGGTTGCGGGTTGCGTCGGCGCAACCTAAAGGAGAAAAACCCCAGCTGGCACCTAGTGGGGACTCCAAGCCCTCAGAGCCACCCTCGTCTGAGGTGGATCGAAACGAGCCCGTCCACAAGGACAGGGAGGGAAAGCCATCCCTGGACAACACGACCGATCATGACTAAACTCCGCATGTTAAGTATTTGGGAACACTACCTCTGAGTTCCCAAGCTGAATGAGAGCTGCCATATCCGCCGAAGGCGGACAAGCAGCCCCAACTGACGCTTCTTCCTACAGGGTGTCTAGGCTTCGCTAATCTCTCAGAAGGTACTCGTACATCTTTGTTTGTTCCCTTCTGGTTTTTTCTTCTTTCTTCAGAATTCTAACTTTGTTTTTATTTTGCAGAATTTTTTGAGGATTTGGACGTTCATCTCCCAGGATCTTCTCTAACCGGGGCTGAACGCAAGGCTGTCCGGGACGCCATTTAGAGGGTCATCCCGACCGAGACTTAGGACAAGTATCGGGGTATCCATGATGGGCACATCGTTCTTGAGTTGGCCTGGATGGATCTCAATCGGCTGCATGATAAGAACACTGGCCTGCTGGCCATGGAACAAGTCTATCATCAGGCGGCTGACAGGCTAAATTCGTATCACCTAATCAAAAGTAATTCCTAAAACCACTAACTAAAATAGATAGGGAAGTAGGGTCGAATCCACAGGGAAACAATATTCTTTATTCCTAATAAATTATTATAATCTAAATTATCAAGAAACAAGGAACAATTGTGAGAATTATAATATGACAATTGTATAGGATAGCTCCCGCTGAACTATCGCCAAGCCCCCTAGGGTGCGCACTCACTGCCGAGAAAGTAGCTGCGAAAGGCCCTCCAGCCTGATGGTGTCAGCCCACAGGGCTGACCAGGCGACTCTTCACCAAGATGATAGTACGCCTATAAAAGAGGGTAAGGTACAATGAAAAAGGGGAAAGACACTCAAGTTATTATACTTTCTATATCTCTCTAAGTACACTTTCTCTCTCTAAACACTCTCTAACTTAAGCTTCGGAGGGGGTTCCTTGAACCACCCCCGAGGGCCGTTTACGTGTGCTGCCGTGTGTAGGTTGTTGACGGGACCCAGCTCACCCAGCAGAACCCTTGGATCCACACCTGGAACAATTGCCGCTAGAAGGAGGGGTAGGATCATCTAACCAAAGGGTCATCAACTGAGCTAGGGACTAGATGACAAACCACCATGGCCGGGGAGGAAGTTGTATAAACACCCATACCTAAAGCCAGCGACACCAGCCAAACACCACAAAAAACACCACCAGCAACTGTCGATCCAAAAGGATCCGCCGAAAAACCCAAATCAATCATCTCACAAAAATCAAACCCCATTGGACCAACGTCAGCTACAACTAATGCACCGTCGAAACCAGTCGATCCGGCAGGATCCAATTCCATTTTCAAATACGGAATGCTGTTGGCATGCGCGAACAGTGAACCCATTGTTTCAACACCCATAGCCCAAAAACCGCAGCAAGTAAACATGCCAGTTATTCTGCAGAACCTCTCCAAGTGCAGTAAGGAACAGCTGGCGGCAATGATGGCCATCCTTGTCAATATGGGTAAGGGAACGAGCTCGCCATCAACAGCGGCAGCTGCGAAGCCAGCAGTAAAGAAACCAGCACCCCCAATCCTCACCCCCGAGCAGAAGGAGCTCGTTCAGCTGAGGAAGAAGGTACTGCAGTTGGAAGCTCGCAACCTAAACCGAGAATGGAGTGTGGAGGAGATAGCCCAGGTTGGGACGAGCCCGAAGAGGTGAGTTCCCCGCAGTAGGTCACTTGACTCAGAGCGGGGGCCCAGCCCGGACAGAGACAAGCGATCGCGGATCTAGTTTATTCCAGATGATTCCTCATTTTGTCGAGAGATTCTGGAAGAACCGACGGAGAAGATAAATATGCCAAGTTGTAGGTACAATGGAACCACAACACCTAAAAGCCACATATCAGCCTTTGAGAACCACATGGTGCTCTACACCATGACGAATTCGGTATGGTGCAAAGCGTTCCCACCAACCTTGGAGGGACTAGCTGCGGAATGGTATGGAGCCATCCCTAAAGGTTCCGTATACTCTTATAATCAGCTGAAGAGGATGTTCATGGAGCATTTAATAACCTTGGTAGATCGAACCAAGATGACAACTGAGCTGATGTCAATGGTTCAGGGGAAGGATGAGCCCCTGAGGGAGTTCATCACCAGATTCAACAAGGAGGCAACAACCATCCCAAATATGAGCCAAGAGCTAGCATTGTTGGCCATGCAGAGCGGCTTGCTGCCGGGCTCACCGTTTAGAGCGTATAAGGGGCGTAAAAGCCTCAAAACGCTGGTTAAGGCGCTGGGTAAAGCGCACGAGTTCATTAAGGCAGACGAAACTGATAGAGCAATGCTGAGCAGGAAGGCACCAAGCGACCTAGTTAAGCAGGCAGAAGTCACTCGGGCAGAAAATGTAGCCAAGGCTGACCAGCCTAGTAGAGCTGAGCAAGGTCGCAGAGAGGCGGACAGAGCGGTAGGGGTAAAAAGATCAGATCCGAGGAGAGGACCAAGGCCAGGAAGGTTCGATCAATATACCCCACTAACCCACTCGAGGTCTCACATCTTCAGTGTGAACAAAGCTGATGATAAGTGGCAGAGACCCCCGAGAATGGTTAACAGGAATTGTAATCCCAGCATGTGGTGTGACTTTCATATAGACCATGGCCATACCACCGATGAGTGCACGCACTTGAAAGATAACATAGAGGAGCTGGTCAGGAGAGGATACCCAAATCAGTTTAAGCAGCACGCTGATCCTCCCAGAAGAAGGGATGAAGATAGAGCAGGCCGTGACCGCAGAGGAGGTCACAGGGGTCCCGTTGAGGATAGGGACTGAGACAGTAAGCTAGAGGGCAGAGTATGTAATCAGTGGAGGACCAGTGCACGGGGGAACAGTGAACAAAGCACGAGCAGACCTGCGGGCAATGATACATCAAATAAATTACAATGAGAATCGTAGATGGCCACCACTTCCTCCACAATCGCGGGCTACATTTGATGAATACGATCAAGAAGGCATAGTCTATCTTCATGGTAACCCCCTGGTGGTGACGATGAGAATAGCAAATCGGGAGGTGAATCGAATACTGATAGATGGGGGCAGCTCTACCAACATCATATACATCAGCGCGTTCAAAGAGCTGAAGTTAGACAAGAAAGATCTAAAAAGGGTGAGTTATGAAGTGACCGGGTTCAATGGATCCAGATTGACCCCGAAGGGAATAATTGAGCTCTCAGTTCGAGTAGGGGAGAGGTCAAAAAGGCGTGATGTACGGGCAGAGTTCCTGGTGATAGACTCTCCTTTACCTTACAATGTGATCATAGGAAGGCCGCTCATTCACAAGATTGGTGGGGTGGTTTCCACCTACCACCTCGCCATGGCCTACACGACTAATGAGGGACGGTCAACACAAATCAAGGGAAGCCAGAAGACAGAACAATAATGTTACATAATTGCCCTAAAGCAGCCTGCAAAGGCCAGGCAGCAGCCAACCTCAGAGCAAAGGTCCACCGAGTAAGCTGAGAGGAAGTCAAGAAAAAGGAAGCGCGAAGAATACCATAGGGAGAAGGATAAACAAAAGTTAGCAATGGAAAACTTTGAGCCTGCAAAAGAGGAGATGGCTAGACCACTTCCCGGCGGGGAGCATGTCACAGTTGAGCTCACAGAAGGTGATCCTTCGAGAACAGTAAAAATCGGGAAAGACATCGATCCTGGAGTAGGGGTACACCTCATAGAGTTACTGAGAAAGAACAAGGAAAATCCGATTGAAACCCACAAATTTGATCTTCGATTTTCAGCCCGATTTCAATGGCAAAAAGGAAGAAGGGTAAGGGAAGCAAGAGTTCAAGCTCCAAATCGAAGATAAAGCAGAAAGCAAAGTAGAATTCTGGACCCAAAACAAGGAATTATACGAAGAGGAAAGAATAGAGCATTGCCATTGAGCATGTTTCGGTTGAAAGCTGGCTTGATGAAGTAATGGAGAACACCGTGCAGGTGAAGGAGATAACGGAGGAGGAACGTGGTGAGCATCAGCAGGAGTTTAACAATTGGCTCCAGGTAATTCATTCCTCTGCATCTGCCATTAATGATGAGCTTCGTACTGATGAATACTGTGATAGTGTATTGAATAAGGACAATCCAACTCCTATTTTGATGCTTAAAAACTCTTATTGCACTATGAATGCTTTTTCCCTAATTTCTGAGAACCCCGAATTGTGTTCCCCTGTTTTTCGTTCTCCGAATTCTGTTGATTTTGCTCGATTGAATTGGAGGGAGAGCCTGTTTGGTGGGACTAGGGATGAGGAGGTAGACCTATCTGGTGGAGGTAAGAACTTGGATAGGGGTTCCAGTGATAGGGGTAATGGTGGCATGGTCCAAATTACTCTTTAGGATGTTCAACCTGAGATTGATTTCTGGAACTCAGTGATTGTTTGCCATATAATTGGTACTAAACTACCTTTGTCTGTTGTGAGTGGTTTTGCTAGAAGGATGTGGGGAAGATATGGGATTGATAAGGTCTCTTTAATGACAAATGGGGTGTTCTTGGTTCGATTTCGGACTATTGAGGCAAGGGATAGAGTATTGGGGGCTGGACCTGTGTGGTTTGACAATAAACCAGTGATAGTGAAACAATGGGTGGCTGGGATGGACCTTGATGCTGAGCCTGTGGATTTGGTGCCTATCTGGGTCAGATTGCCTGGGTTGAAATTGAAATATTGGGGGCAAAAGACTCTAACAAAATTGGCTTCTATGATAGGGAATCCTATCAAGACTGATAAGGCAACAACCACCAAGGAAAGATTGGAGTATGCTAGGATTATGATAGAAGTGAAGTTTAATGTTGATTTACCAGATTGCATTGAGTTTTTGGATGAATCTGGCAATACAATAAAACAAGCTCTGAAGTATGAGTGGAGGCCTGTGATCTGTAAGGTGTGTGGTGGGATTGGGCATGCTGATGCTCAATGTCCTAATCATAAGGTACAGGTGAGGAATAAGGTGAGGACGCAGCCTGAGAAAGCTTAGAACAAGGATAGATAGAAGTCACAAAAAGTCTGGAAGCCAATTTAGAAGCCTGTTTCTCAGAATTTTAAAAGTGAGATTGATAATTTGAATGGTTCTCAGCAGGAAGATGGTGGAAGTCATCAACCTAAAGTTATGAAACCCGGTGTTATTTTGATCAGTAGTAGTGAAAATAGATTCAATGTATTGGAGGAGGGGGAATGCTCTCATTCTCTCCATGGATAAACTTGGTTTTTGGAACATTAGAGGTCTAAATAAGGCCAGTAAGCTCTGTGATGTCTTATGGTTCATTAGACATCATGGAGTTGGTCTTTTTGGACTTCTTGAAACTAAGGTGAAGGCTGAGAAGTTTGGTGTGGTGTTTAATAGATTGGGAAGTGACTGGTCTGTGTGTGCTAATTACTCTCATCATAAGGGTGGTAGAATTTTGATTATTTGGCTGTCTCAGGTGCTTGATGTGTCTATTGTTAGATGTGAAGAGCAATTAATTCATTTGCAGGTTCTTCATAAGGGAACAAGCAATAGTTTTTTCTGCACAATGGTTTATGGGTTGAATGAGGCTGCTGCTAGGCATAAGCTTTGGGAGCAGATAACTGAGATTGGTGCTTATATGTCCAGTCCTTGGATTCTTTGTGGGGATTTAACAACATCTTGAATCTTAATGATAGAATTGGCAGTCCTGTTTCTTTGACTGAAGTGGAACCCTTTAGAGCTTGCCTAAGACAGAACAATCTTTCTGATTGGGCTGCTGGGGGTATGTTTTATACTTGGTGTAATAAGCAGGCTGGTTGTGATAGGGTGTGTACTAAAATTGATAGGATCATTGTTAATGGTGATTGGATGGATAGATTTCCAGACATGCAAGCTACTTTTTTCCCTGAAGGATTAATGGATCATTGCCCTTGTGTTATTAACATGTTTGATTCTGGAACTCAAGTTAAAAAACCATTTAGGTTTGTTAATATTTGGGTGGACTCTCCTAAGTTTCTTTTAGCTATTAAAAAGGCTTGGGAGATTAACGTTGGTGGTACTTTAATGTTCCAGTATGTTAGGAAGTTGAAAGAGATGAAAATAGTGTTGAAAAAACTGAAAATGGTGAATTTCTCTTGTATTGAAACTGAGGATGCTGTAGCTGAGAAGACTTTGATGGAAATCCAATCGAAGCTCCAAGGTGAGCCTGATAATGAGAGATTGATTGAATTGGAAAGGGAAGCTAGAATGAGATATGCTAAAATTCACCTTGATAGATACAATTTTTTGAAGCAAAAGGCTAAGGTTCATTAGCTTAAAGATGGTGATATGAATTCTGCTTTCTTCCATGCTATTATTAGGAAGAGAAGACTTCATAATAACATCTATTCTATTGTGAACAATGTGGGGGAGGTGACTGCTGATCCTAAGGAAGTGTGTGATGCTTTCTTGGAGTATTACCAAGGGCTCCTTGGAACTGAAGCTTCAATGTAGGGCAGCATTCATTCTGCAGTCATAGCTGAGGGTAATATTTTATCTGGTGAGCAAGGATTGGCTATTTATAGAGCTTTTTCTGAGAGTGATGTTAAGTCTGCTTTATGGAGTATTGATGATGATAAGGCTCCTGGACCTGATGGTTTTTCCAGCAAGTTTTTTAAAGCTGCTTGGCATATTATTGGTAATGATGTTACCAAGGCTGTTCAGGATTTCTTTAACTCTGGTAAGTTGCTTAAACAGGTTAATTCCACTACTTTGACTTTGATTCCAAAGATTAAGCATGCAAATAAGGTTACTCAATTCAGACCTATAGCTTGCTGTAATGTGGTGTATAAGATCATTTCTAAAATGATCTGTTCTAGATTGAAGGAGGTGTTAACTGGTTTAATTGATGAATGTCAAGGGGCCTTTATCTCTGGAAGATCTATTCTTGATAATTTCCTTATTTGTCAAGACATGATGAAGGCTTATAATAATAAAAGGAAGCCCCCTAGGTGTACCATTAAAGTGGATCTTAGGAAGGCTTATGATTCTGTAAGCTGGGATTTTATTCAGGGAATGATGAGTGCTATGAAGTTCCCCATTCAGTTCATTTCTTGGGTTATGCAATGTGTTACTACTCCTACTTTTTCTTTACTTCTTAATGGTGGTTCTTATGGATTTTTTAAGGGGAAAAAGGGAATAAGGCAACGTGATCCTATGTCTCCCCTCTTATTTGTTATTGTGATGGAATATCTGTCCAGGTTGCTGAAGAAAGTTGGGAAGAAAAAGAGATTTAAATATCATCAGAGGTGTAAGGAGCTTGCATTAAATCACTTGATTTTTGCAGATGATTTGATGTTGTTTTCTTATGGGAATAATGATTCTGTCAAGCTCTTGATCAAGGCTCTTAAGACCTTTGAAGCTAGATCTGGTTGCAGGCTAATCTTGAGAAAACTGCAATTTATTTTGGCAATGTTCAGCAACCTGTCCAAGATAGCATTCTGTGCCATTCTGGGTTTGTGAAGGGTGAAATGCCTTTTAGGTACCTGGGGATTCCTTTGAATGCTAAGTACTTGAAGATGGTGGATTATGATAGTTTGATTGATAAGATGTTGGTCAGATTACACTGCTGGAGTAGTAGGAATCTTTCATATCCAGCTAGGGTCACCCTTATTAATGTAGTGTTAATGAGTCTGCATACTTATTGGGCTCAATGTGTTTTACTTCCCAAATCAGTTATTGATAGGATTAACCAGCTTTGCAGAGCTTTTTTGTGGAGTGGTAATGCTGTTCTTTCTACAACTCCACCAATTGCCTGGGATTGGTGTTGTAGACCTAAGAAGGCAGGTGGTCTTGGGATTAGAGACTGCAGAAAGTGGAACAAGGCTGCTCTGGGTGTTTATGTTTGGAAAATAGCCAAGAAAACTGACTCACTCTGGGTCAAATGGGTACACTCAGTTTATATTAAAGGTGAAAATTGGTGGGATTATGTTCCAAAGAAAGTTGCTGGGTGGGCATGGAAATTGTTATGCAAAGTTAGAACTGATTTGATGCATGGTTTTACTACTAAGGGGTGGCTGAATAACAAGTACAAAATCAGGGATGGGTATAACTGGTTGCAAGGTGATATGGATAAGGTTTAATGGTGTAAATGGGTTTGGAATCCCGTCAATATTCCAAAACACACCTTTATTGTTTGGCTTGCTGTTCTGGGGAGGCTTAAAACTAGAGATAAGCTCTTCCAATATGAGGTTAGTGATAGCAGTGACTGTTTGCTTTGTGGTGATGCTGTGGAATCTTGCAGTCATCTCTTTTTCTCCTGCAGTTTTAGCAGAAAGGTGCTGAAGGCTGTTTCTCACTGGATTGGGTTTGATAAGAATCAGGTAGACATCTTACACAGCTGGAAGTTATGGAAAGCAGAGGGTAGGAATCAAGTGCAGAAGAATCTGATCTGGATTAATCATACTTGGACAATTGCTGACTGTAAATGGCTGCATCAGCTTAGAAATAGTGTTTAGTTGTTTCTGTGTTAGCCTTGTTCTGTTTGTATGCCTGTCTTGGCAGTTTTTGTTCTTTGTGTATCTTGTGCAGGTCTTGGTTCCCTTGAGCCCTTCCTAGAAGGTACCAGGGGTCTTTGAACCTGGTTCTGATTCTTGTTTATCCTGGTACCCTTCATAGAAGGTGATCAGGATATTCTTGAATCTGTTAGGGGTGGTGTGCCTTACTTTTAAGGCTTGAGTAGTTTGGTGTTTCCTTGTTTTGACAGGTTGTATCTGTTGTACATTTGTACAGTTTCTGTTTATAATACTTTTCTTACTTTCCAAAAAAAAAGAGAAAGAACAAGGATATTTTTGCATTTTCCGCAGATGAGATGCCTGGAATTGACCCTGCTGTCATGGTCCACAGGCTGAATGTGAAGGAGGATATTAAGTCAGTCAGGCAGAAAAAGCGAAGCTTTTCCATAGAGAAAAATCAGGAAATCTAGGAGGAAGTGGAGAAACTCTTGGAGACAGGATTCATCGAGCCCTGTGATTACCCAGAGTGGTTAGCCAACGTGGTCATGGTGAAGAAGGCAAATGGCCAGTGGAGAATGTGTATTAATCTCACGGATCTCAACAAGGCCTGCCCAAAAGACCGTTATCCGCTGCCACGGATTGATTAGCTGGTAGACTCAACCAGCGGGCACGCACTGCTAAGCTTCATGGATGCCTTCTCAGGGTACCATCAGATCAGCCTATATGAACCAGACCGGCAGAAAACCGCATTCATCACCAAAGGGGGAGTGTACAATTACATAGCTATGCCCTTCGGGCTGAAGAATGCTGGGGCAACTTTTCAGAAGACAATGGATAGGGTGTACCTGAAGGAGTTATGTCTTCGATAAGTGCAATTACTAGATATATCAAGGATCACGATTATGGAGATAATTAGTTCATTCTATAAGGTCGTCAATGTTTGTTGCTAGATATGACAATTGATCTTTAGGACAGATTAATGGCCCAAAGCCTTATGAAATGGATACTACAAGGTCACACATAAGAGTATTGGGTTAAACAAGTTAGAGGCCCATTAATGGGCCTCATGAGTTCATGACATACCATGTTGATAATTGGGCTTGGATAGTTAGAAGAGTTTAATGGGTTTTGGACTTGACATGGTTTTATTTCTAGGTATGATCTATAAAATAAAAAACCATGCCTAGGGTTGCATTAGATAACAATTGACATACAGTGAATTGTCACACAAGCAACCAAGCTTCCCAAAAACCCTAACTCTCTCTCTCTCTCCTCCATGTCCGTACGGCCCTCCTCCTTCGGTGGCGCGTGTGGTGGCGCATGGGTGGTGTTGTGGTGTGTTCGTGGCTCAAATCTCCGTTGAAGGTTGATTGAAGTGTTCAGTCACAACTAACTAGAATTAGTGGATGTTTAATCCGTGCTCGTGGACTAAGTAGAGGAATCACACGTGGGGTTCTTTATCTCCCATTATTCTTGCTCGATCGCACGTGGAATCACGCTTCAAAGGTACGATTATATGTTCTTTATGTGTTATGCATT